ATGAGGACAGTGTGGATGATTCTGGTTATGCCAAAGGTAAGGGAGCGGGGATAAAGTGGGCAAAAGTGACTTGGGATTTTGTTCTGCTTTTGTCTGGGACTGGCTGACTGTCCTAGAGCTCTCACTCTCAGTGTCTCACCTCTGATGAAAGAGCAGTTGATCTCTTTATGTGTTTCTGAAAGACTGAGAACAGTAACTGGCTGTTATGCTAAAACTGCAAACTGAATCTTTGTTTTGTGCAAATCCCTGGGCTAATGAAGGCTGGAGGTTTCCATGGGAACTCCCCACACATGGAAGAAGAGGGTGTGATATTTTAGAGTTCCTGTTTCTTACGTGTCTGGCTGAGCTGAGGTAATAAGTGAATCAGATTTTCTCATCCCTGGGAGCTCCATGGCCCAGGAATGTGAGACTCAAGGAAATGGGAGTGTTGGGTCCTTCTGGTGCCTCCATGAGGCTGCAGGAACAGCCATGCCCTGTTTTACTGCTGAGAGGTGACACAGAGAGTGACCAAGTGACTCCTTGGAAGTTGCACAGGCAGCACTGTCCCTCTGGTGGTGCCACAGCTGCATCACAGGGACAAAGTCGTGTCCTAGAGCTCTTTACATTTAACCTGACAGAGCTTATTGGATCCTAATAACACAAAATTAATGCTGTGGCCTGGAGGAGCTTCATACCAGAGACAGAAGCTGGAGGCACAGGATAAGTATTAGGTGCCACTGTGCTAAATTCTACTCAGATGTGTACTTTAGTCTGTATTATCATCCTAGAAGGAAGGAAAAGAATCATAAAACTCCTGGGTGATTCTGCCTGGAACTGGGAGAAGGTATGTGCATTAAATCAAATGAAAGCTCACATTTCAGTCGCTCCCTGTGCAGTGTTCATGGAAGGTGACAATTCAGTAAGAACTGAGAGAAGCTGGAGGCTTTACCCAAATGCTTTTAGGGTTGGAGAAGTGAATTGTACTGTCCTGTGAGGGATGCTGCACACAGCAACTTTACTCACAATTCCTGTTTCACTGATTTTCCTCTTGTGTTCCACAGTGATAGACTCCGGGGTTCCAGAGAATGGGGAATGGACCCCTGCCTGCAGCTCCTCCTTTGGTGGCTGGGAGGCCCATACTCGTGGCATTGGCTCCAAGCTGCTTGTTCAGATGGGATATGAGTTTGGAAAAGGTAAGGGGAGAGGGTGGTCCTGGGGCTGTTAAGAAAAACCCAGTATTGTGGTTGAAGCCAGAGCTTTGCTGTGCTGAAGGGCCACTTGGCTGAGGCTCAAGCAGTGTGGTAGATCCCAGCAGTGTTGGAGGGAAGAGGGATGAGTTATTTCATGGAAGTACAGGCATGTGGGGCACCAGCCCCTGTGTGGTAATGGCAAACAATGGAGGCACCTGGAAGCACGGTCAAGTTCATGATCAAAGCCGTGAGAACGCTGTGGAGTGTTCAGAGGTGGAGGTGGAGGGGAGCTGATCTGCAAAGCTTCTGATGTCTCTGTTAATGCATCTCCTGGCCTGGACACACACTTCAAAGCCTGCTGAACTCGCTGCTCCCACCCAAATTGCATTGAGCCTTGGGGGCTCTGGGAAGGCCTCTGTGTCTCTGGTTCTTCCAGAGGAACCAAACCAGTTTTAAGTAGAACTTGGCTTGAGAAGCTGAGGATGTGAGGCTGAACCCGGTTCCACAGAAACCGGCCTGACGGATGGCCTCGGGCTTGGAATCACAAATCTGCTGTGAAAGGCTCCTGGCCTGGCCTTTGCTGGTCCCCGTGGCTTGGACAGAAGTTCCAACTTTTGGTACCTCAAAAGCCTCTTGGCTTGTTTTAAGCTTGTGACTGTCAATGTGAGCTTGTGGTGGGAGGTGACTCGGAGAGGGGATGCTGTAATGACTCAGAGTCTCTCCTCAGGCTTAGGGAAGAATGGCGAGGGCAGAGTGGAGCCAGTGCAGGCTGTGGTGCTTCCTCGGGGGAAATCCCTGGACCAGTGTGCTGAGGTGCTTCAGAAGAAGAAGCAGGGGAAGCTGGAGCCAGGCAAATCGAGGAAATGCCGAGCAAAGGGAAGCAGCTCCGGACAGCTGGGCGGCCGTAAGGCGCCGCGCAACGTGTTTGACTTCCTGAACGAGAAACTGCGCGGGAAGAGCGCTGGGGACAAGGCTGGGGGGATGGCTCTGCCCCAGAGGAACAGCAAAGAGATCTACCACGCCAGCAAGAGCACCAGGAAGGCCCTGAGTGTCAGCCTCTTCCAGACCACGGAGAAGATTGAACAAACACAGAGGGATATCAGGGGAATCCAGCAGGCTCTGGCGCGCAACATCGGGCGGTAGGAAAGCGTTCTTTGGGATCGAGTTTGTGGTGCTGATGGGGAGGGGTGGGCTTGAAATGAGATGTGGGAGGAACAAGTGAAATGTATCTGGATGGGACTTAAGGGGAAGTGGAGGAGAGAGTTCAGTGTGTGCTTCAGACCAGCGTGGACACTGGCAGATGTGTCTGGGATCCTTTGGCTGGAATTCAGGCTGTGGCAAAGAGAGGAGCTCTCTGAGGAAAGGTGCCGGAGTCCTTCTCATGCCCACCTCTGCAGCATTGCTGTTGAGGATCCCAGGAGGACATTCCCTAGCCCAGATAGTGCTGAGCATCAGCTTATTCCTGACTTTCAGCAGGTCCCTTGGGCTAATCCTTTAGGAAAGGGCAGACCCTCCTGGGATGGAACAAGCCTTTGATTTTACCATGCAGGATGACATTGCCACTGTGCTTTTTGCTTTCAGGCACAGCATTGCTGCAGCCCAGCTGGAGGAGAAGCTGGCTGATGCCCACAAGCAGCTGGGGCAGCTGCAGGCCCAGGAAGCCAGGCTACAGCGGGAGCAGAAGAAAGCAGACACCCACAAGAAGATGACTGAGTTCTAGGTGCTGAGGAAAGTGTTGGACTGCAGGAGTTGTTCTTCTGGTGCTCCTGGCCTCAGTCTTGATGAGCTGTCCTGCTCTGCTGGGCCTCAGGCTGCTCAGCCTAAAACTGGGCAAAAAAGCAGCAGTTTCTGGATGCCTCTGAGCTCTTCTGGGAGGGGGAGTAGTGCACATCCGTCCAGCCCCAAAAGCATTCAGTGAGCTGGGCCTTGGATGAGGCCTAGCTACAAGGGATGCAGTTCTCTGCTCTCTTGCACTCTTCTTTCCTTCATATTCCTTGCAGTAGCAGCTCCATCCAGAGTCTGTGGGTGCTCAGGTGGTAACACTGCTGGCTACACACCAGCTGAGGGGGCTTGGACAGCCCCACATCCTGCCATTAACTGTGGCTTCTGTCTGTGCACAGTTACAGCACAGGTGCAGGCAGGGTCCCAACCGTGGCTGGGTGAAAACATCAAAGGTCAAGTGCTTTAGCTGCTCTCTGCCTTCTGGTTTTTACTATGGGATTTATCTGAGAACTCCATTTTTTGAGGGGAGCAGTTCTTTGTAGCCCTAGTGTAAGGAAGAGACAGAAAACTGACAGCTCGGAGGTGGAACCAGCAGCCTGGAGCATCAGATTTCAGCAGTCTGACTGTTAGAGTATCCCAGGCCATGCTGTAGCCAAACTCCCTGGCTCGGCATGGAAAAGCTGTCTGGTTCCACAAGTAGAGTGCCATAGCTGGGGGAATAAGCCAGCAGCATAACAGAATTCCCAAACCTATCCAGGAACAGTTCCACAGGGAACCTTGTGATTTTTGCCACCATTAGTTGGGTTTTTCTGCCCAAGGTGGCTCAATGGGTCCTTTTACTAGAAAACCTCAGGACCCAGATCCAGGTTGGACTGGGCCCTGGATGAGCACAAAGAGCAGGATCTGTGTGAGCCCAGTGTGCAGCCCTGCAGTGGGAGAGCTTGGGGCTGGCTGGAGGCAGGCCAGGCAAGCCAAATGCTCTTCCCTGCCGTGTGGAAAGTGTTTGGACAAGAAGGGTGTCCTCTCCCCTTGGTTACATTCTGTGTTGGTGGTGGCCAGTGCTTGCCTCAGAGATGCTGGTTTCATCATCTGTGGGATTTCTGCATTGTAAAGGCTTTTTTTAAAAACAAAAATAGTTTGCAATTCATGCCAGTATCTTAAAGACACCATTCTTTTTTTTAATTTAAGGAACCAATTTCCTTTTATTCTGTGAGTAATTTTTCTAATGAAAAGGTTCCTTTAGTATCCCCTTTTTTATCTATCCCGAAGAACAGATTAAAAACAAGCTGTCAGCCTGGGCAGGGCAGTGCCTGATTTGCAGGGTCAGGCTGCCAAACGAACAAGAAAATCTGAGACTGAAGAAGATATGATCAGAGCTGTTCAGGTTGTGTGGGATTTCACATTGCTGCAGACACACCTCAGAAACGCAGCGAGACAGCAAAACCAAACAAGATGAACATCTTCAGGAAGTCTGTGGGAGTGAGTGTGTGCTCCTGAAGAGCACCTGGATCATGCTGTGATCCTGGTGGATGTGGGATGTGTCATGGGCTGCCTCAGGCACTTCAACATCCATCCGTTCCTATTGGAATTGGCTGTACTGTCCTCATTGTTCTGAATTCGTTTTCTTTACACACCAAGCTCAACTCAAGTGTTTAACAGTGGCCCTTCCCTCACAAATGACTGTTTGTTTCTCACACTTGAGTGCTAAGTGGTGACAAGGATTAATGTGCCCAGCTTAGCGTGGATGCTCACTGAAGTGGCCCATGACTGGAGAGCTGAGCTGGGCAGAGAAAACTTGGGGGTTGATTTTGTGCTCTGAGACTGTTTAACATCATCATCTCTTTAGGAACTCTGTGTATGAGCCCCGTGTCTTTGCCAAGTCCTATTTTGACCCTTCCTTGGGATCTCCACAGCCTGACTTGTCAGACTCCTATTCCAGCAGCTGCCACCTCCCACCCAGCGCAGTTCACACCCCTGCTGAATAAAGCTGGTGTTTCTTTTCCCCCTCTCTCCTTGTAAGGCGTTGTTCATTTGCAAGGTAATGATGATCTGTGGCTCCCCATTCTCTCCTTCTATTGCCCTGATCTCCCGGAGGAGCCGGGCGGGAGCGGGCGCGGCAGAGGGTGCTCGGGTGTGCCGGGAGCCGCGGCGCTTCCCCCCGGCTGCGAGCACAGACCCAGCCTACCCCGGGGTGAAGCCACCACCTCCGAGGCCAGGAAGCTGTGGTGTGTGTGCTCCGTGTCTGCTCACAGCCGGCTGCTCCTCAGGGAGCGGGAGAGCTCGGATCGGGATGTTGGAAATGTGCGGGAGGTCCTGACTGGGACTTGCTGTGGGATAAGAAATGAAATTCTGCAGGCTGGCCGGCAGGGAAGAGAGCATGGTTGGATCCCTGCGCTCCACACTCACCGGATTTTGAGCTCCTGCAAGTAAGTGATGGTGGCTTTCCTGCCTGGGAAATGAGGAATCTGCAGCTAAACTGGGGGGGAAATACCTTAAACCCCCCAAAGTATACAGAAGTCACAGCATTGTCAGAGATGCTCTTGGGGCTGGATAGACTGGACAGGCAGGATTCCTGCTCTGCTCTGGGAAGCCTCAGCTGGGTTCAGCTCTGTGAGTGGGGCTCCAAGCTGTGTCATTCCACGCTTTGTGCTCTGTAGCTGGGCTTAGAAGGGAAGAGAAGGTGGTGGAGCTTGGTAGTGCTGCTGGGATCCCATGGCTGGGGTCTGGAGGCTCAGTGGGAGCCAATTGCTCTTGGGGTGAATTAATTCAGAGGTGCGTGGCATTGTGGAAATTTCCAGTTGTTTTGTGAGGAGGGGGACAGGAGTGTTGCTGGTATGTGCAATGGGAAAGTGCTGAGCTCCTGTCTCTGGGTGAGGAGGCTTGAAAATGTGGTCCCTGAAATGCTGTCTTCTGAAAACCCAAGACGATGTAGAAGTAGTGCATCTGTGGCAAAGGAAACCACTGTGGCAGGCAGATGCTTCTGGAGAAGACACATCTCCTTCATACAGCCATGCTGCAGTTTGGAATCTGGCTTGCCCTAACAGCAGCTCTGAGCTCTCCGCTGGTCTCCTGCTGTGGCTCAGCTCTGCAGAAAACTTCTTGAGATTATTCTTGCCTTCAAAGAGCATTTTTTCTGCCCAAGTGAGTGTTCAGCAGCCAGGGAAGGGCAGGAAGAAAGAAAAGTGCTGAAATGGTGTCAGCCTCGAGCAGAGCCCTGTGGTGTGGGCTGACAGTCACTCACCTGAAAGTTTTGAAGTTGTATTTTCTCAAAAGCCACTCCAGCATGTGAGCAGCGATCAGAACTGCAGCTAGAAGTCTGCATCCAAGTTTTCAGGCATTTGGGTCTGGCATTTAGAAGTATGGTTGGCACTTTCTAAATGAAAAGCCCCCAGAGGTGTTTGACCGTGAAATCTCATCGCAGAGGTAAGCAAAGTAGGTAAGATCTTATGCCTGCTTTTGTGAAATAGTCTTAAAATTCACTAATTTTAGTGAATTGGGGCAGATTCAGTGCTGTAACTGACTGTAAACAGAGCTTTCAGTTTTTGTAATTGAAAAGAAAAAAATCCATCTACTTCTGCTTCTTGGGACTTTTTTGAAGCACAACTCCCTGGGGTACCTGAGCAGAGTTTGCTGCAGCTGTGTGCACAGTTGCTGATGGAAATCAGCTCAAAATGTTCCTCTTGGTTTTTTGCAAATAGGCTTTGAGTAGCTTTGCAGACTTTTTCCTTGCCACCCTGCACTGAACACTGTGTGGTTTTTATCTGGGGAGATGAATCAGAGGCCAGGCAGAATCATCAGCAGCAGCACTTGGTTTTGCAGTGAATGTAATCTTGCTTTCGGACGCCCAGATGAGGTATTTGCACCTTTTGTAGGAGTCACAAAAACTCCCACGTCCTGGAGTAGCAGCAACCCATCTGCCTGAAGGGTGCTGGGGTGTCACACGGAGGAGTGATCCTGCTCAGAGGGCTGTGGGCGCTGTCACACGTACAAAACACTGTGACCGCCCTCGCCTTCAAAGCCACCTGGGCTGGGCTGGTGGAGCCAGAGCCTTGCGAAATGCCGTCTGCTGAGTCTCCTGCCCCGGGGAGCAGCCCCAGGACAGGGAGATCGATGACTTTATTGGCAGGAAATTCAGGTGTAGGTTTCAGAAGGTCTGGCTGAGATTTTGCCTTGCAAACCTGCTCAGTCCTTCTTGGGTATCTTTAGTCAGGCACTGGGTTCTGCTGGCAGATCTGTGGTTTTGGGAAACCCAAAGTGTTGTCCTAAGAAGTGGATTCTCCCGGTGACTGCTGAGCCTGAGCACTGAGGAGGATGCACTGCACAGTTTCACTGCTCAGAAATCCTGGAGCAACCACCGACCTGCTCTACAGAAAGTAGACCAGAAGAATTTTTCTGTGTTCGTTCCTACTCAAGGAAGTCTCTCCTTTCAATCTTCAAAATTCAGGGATGGAAAATCCCCCTGCTTTGGGATAAGCTGCCCTGTGTGTCCCTGCCTCAGCATGCTGAAAGCTCCCACCTCGATTCCGACATCACACCAGCTCCCAGCCCTTGAATCTCACTAGGACTTTGTCTGCTCAACTCCAGAGCCTGCTGAGCTCTGCCCTGCTCCTGCAGCCCATGATTCCATCACTCTAATGAGCTGAACGAGCCCAGCGAGGAGCTCCAGGCTCTGTCTAACACACTGGCCCTGTTGCAGGTAATCCGAATAATTAAAGTATGCTCAGACAGAAAAGCTGTGTTGTCTAATTAAAACGTTGGAAAGGGAACAGCCTCCCCTTCCCAGCTCTGATCTAAGCCAGTCTGTCCAGCCTGGTTAGTCCTCAAAACCTCTCTGTCTCACTTTCTACCTTGAAATAATTGCTCTCCAGGGTTCATGCTTCAGTCAGGGCAGTTTCCAAAGGCATGGGAAGTTCGTAGATAAAAGGATGCTCACAGATAAAAGGGTGCTGCAAATGGGCAGAGTCCTTCTGGTTATTGGGGTAAAAATGTGCCAAAGATGCTGCTGTGTGACCCGGGGTGCAGAGGAGAGGGGAGCTCCCGGGGGCCTGCAGTGGCTTTTCAGATTTACACAAGGCAGGGTGGCTTCTCACCAGAGCTCATCTGGGCTTTGTCATCCGGATGAAGATATGCAAGAGGGTGAGTAAGAGGTGCTCAGCACATCCCTCTGGATCTCTGGGTTCCCGTCCATGCTGCTGGAAGCCGATCCTGCTCAGCTCTGCCCAGGGACCCTACTGCTGGCCCCATCTGGATCAGCTACCGTGCCTTCTTGAAGCTGTGTTTTACTCCAGGAACTGCCTCCATCTCCTTTCAGATCAGGCATTTCTTGGGTGCTGGTGACAGGCCAGCCTCTTTTTGTAGAGCAGGGTGCACAGAGCTGAGCTGTGCCGAGCTGGGAGCCGCAGCCGCCGTCAGCGCTGGTGAAGGTGAAGGCTGTCAGCTCTTGCTTTGGTTTGCAGCAGAGCAGGGACGGGGATGGTGGCATGGAAATGATGGGACAGAGGTCACCAAAAGCCTCCTGGGGAAGGAGGTGATCCTGACAGGCTGGGGAGCACCCGTGCCTTGTGTCAGGACACCCTCCTGCCCCTGCACCGCTTGCTCTGCCGCTGCCGTGGTTTGCAGGGGATGGTTTTTGCCCTGAGGAAAGCACAGGGACAAGGGCTGGGTTTGGGCAAGGCACAGCTTTAGGCACAGGAAAAGGGTGGGAAGACGGGGTGTTTTCTGCTCTGGTGTCACAGCAGAGAGCTGTGCTCAGGCTGCAGACCTGGGGTTGTGGTGGCACAGGGAACGTGTGAATCCATTGCAGAAGGAGGGTGTCCTGGTGTGTTCTGCTGAGGCCAGGGCATGAGGAGGGGGAGGAAGGAGATGCTGAAGATCCCCTTATTTCCAGGAAATTGAGTCATACTGCCTGTCCTTACTGGCCTCCCCTGTGCTCAGGAGCAGTGTCACCCCCATCCCACAGCCCGGGTCGGTGTCCCAGTGTCCCCAGAAAGCACTCTGTCATTTCTAGGGTGTCTCCAGAGGGTTTTCAGGGCTCCTGGGCATCTCCTTTTCACCATTTCAGTGGCAAATTGTGAGCTTGAATCCCGCTGGTTTTGTTGAATTGGTTTTTTTTGCAAGGAACCAAAATCTGAAGATTTCTCTGGTGGCAGAGCACCCACTGCCAAGTGTCCATACAGGGCTGGGCACTGGAGGTGTTACAGTGACTCTGGGGACAGCAATTGCTGGCCCAAAAATGGGACACCCAGTGAAATGTCCCCATCCAGAGCATCCAGAGAGACCCCCTGCTGGGGGACGGTGCTGCAGGGGTCCCTTAAGCCCTGGGGGTCACAGAGCACCATTTCATGGCATGGTGAGCCCAGCAGCTCCAGGCTGAACTCCAACTCGTGTTCTCTCTCCTCAGAGCTCAGCCCTGCAGTGGTGCTGCAAGCGGCTCCCCCATGGCTGCGGCCAGCGGCGAGGGGACAGCAGGGACCCGGCTGCTGCCAGCTGGCACTGCCCTGGCCCTGCTCGGTGGCCTGGTCTACCTGGGCACCCTGTGTGCTGCCTGCAAACGGTACGTGCTGCCCACAGCTCCTCCACTTTCCCTCCTGGGGCTGGGTGGGGCTGGGGATCCCTCATTTGGTGGCATTTGGTGGCTGCGTGTGGGGACTCTGTGCAGCCATCCTGAGCTGGGACCACGGGGTCTGCTGCTCTGCTCACCCCAAACCCCGACCTGTGCCCCAGTGCAGCTCTGCCTGGCTTGATCCTGCATCCTGTGTGTCACAGCCCTCTGGAACAGCCCCTACAGCCAAAAACCTCAGAGGAGCAGCCCAGAGAGGGCTGAGCTGTGAGCAGGAGGGGCAATGCCAAGGGTGGTGCCAGTGGTGCCCTGCACAGCTCAGTGGGGTGCAGGATGCAATTGTGATGTCCCCAGGCAGCACAGAGCCTGCTGTGGGGCTGGGGAAGGAGCAGGATGTGGGTTTTGGAAGTGCCACACTGGGGACCTGGGACACCTGGTCCTCACCCCTGGCTTTGCCACCTGCCTTGGGCTCAGCCCCACTTCTCCCTGCAGGAAGGGCAGGAAGAAGGTCGCTCCAGACGGGGTGAAGCTCGTGGATGAGGTAAGAGCACGTTTTGGGGGGCAGGATCAGCCCTGGGGGGTGGTCTGGGCTCCCAGCCCAGCCTGAGGGTGTCTGTCCCCCCCGGCAGGCCCTGCTCTGCCAGACACAGCTGCGGTCACTCAGCAAGTCGGACACGAAGCTGCACGAGCTCTACCGGGTGAAGGTCAGAGATGATGGTGAGTGGCCGTGGAGCAGGGGGAGCCCGAGGGGCTGGGGCCCTTGGCAACTGCCTGCAGTCCCCATGCTGCCCATCGTGTCACGGACAGACGTGCCACAGCACAGGGATTGCTGCCTGTTGCATCCCCTCATTTCCTCTTACCTCCCACAGTCCAGCGTCCAGCCAGCCTGGATCTCCCCGGTCCTACGGCCCCTGGAGGGGAATCCTTGCACAGCTCTGGCCTCCTGCACCGTGAGCTGCCCCAGATCCCCGTCCCTGAGCCCCCAGCCACTTCCCCAGCCCCCGACCAGACCTACTCCAACCTGCTCTTCACCCCGCTGCGGAAACCAGTGCCAGACGCTGTCTATGAGTGCCTGGCAGTGGGGGGAGAGGGCACCCCGGTGCCCCCCATGCCAGCTGGCACCCAGGTGTCCCCTCCACGGGCCGTGCATGGGGCAGCCGATTACGCCTGTGTCCATAAAGTGAAGAAGGCAGTGTCGGTGGAGGTGCAGGATGGGGTTGTGGCAGGACCCTCCGGAGCACAGCATGGCACAGGCAGTGCCCCTCATGCCAAGGTACGACTCTGGGGGACAGCAGGGATGGGGCACACGGGGGGGTCATTTAATTCCCTCTCTCCTGGCTGTGCCCGTGTGTGGAGCAGGGTATAAGTTAGGATCCACTGCCAGGAGGGGGATCTTTGGCATTGCCCCTGGCATTGCCCCTCCTGCTCACAGCTTCCATCAGAAGATGGGGGGGATAAAATAATGAGGGTACCCTGCAGTGGGCAGGGATTGCTCCCAAACCTCCACCCCAAAAAAAATTCCTTTTGCAGCTGGAGGAGATGTACTCGACGGTGTGCAAAGCCACCAAGAAGAAATCCCAGGTCCCTGCATCAACCCCGAGGGCTGTGAAGGAGGCAGGGTCTGCGTGGCCGTGCCCCTGCCAGCAGGAGGGGGCCTCAGCAGCCCCAGGTCCCCCTGACCCCTGTTACGAGTCCATCAGCGACAGAGCATGGCCTGCTCAGGCCCGTGGCCCCGACCCTGACTATGAGGCTGTGGACATTAACTGGAAGAAGGCAGCAAAACGGGACAAGCCGGGGAAGCCCTGTGTCCCCGAGAACCTGTATGAGAGTGTGGTGGATGTCTGGGCAGGGGGGTCCCGGAAATCCTCTGCCCGTTCAGCAGCCAACGGGCTGGAGGTGTACATCACCAACCTATAGCCCCCCAGGGGCAGGGGCAGTGCCACAGCGGGGTCCCACCTGGCTGGACACTGTCAGGTGCCAAAGGGACAGGTGCCAGCTGCCCTGTGCCCACCAAGCCCTGTGCCCTGCACTCACTCTCTGTTTATATTTTCTGTTACTTTTCTACCCGTGTCCTTTTCCCACCCCAGCCCAGCTGTTGCCAGCAGCTTGATGGTGGGATGTCCCAAGATGGGCAGTTTGGAGGTGCTGGGTGGGACCCCAGTGAGACAGGGCTGGCACTGGCACCAAGATGGGAACAGGGTGGGGACCAGTCACATTTTGGGGTGGGGGGGTGACGGGGCTGCAGCCAGCCCCATGCCTTGGGCTGCAGGATCAGATCCTCAGGTTTCTGCCATGACTGAGGGTCTCTGTCCTCATCACACTGCCTGGGGGAGACCAGGGCCCCCTCCAGCCCCCAGGAAGCCCTGAGAAGCTTTGCTCCCCTCACAGAATGTCCCTTGTTATGGGGAGATGGGGTCAGCCCTGTGCCTTCATGGAATTATAGAATACCCATAGTTGGAAAGGACCCGCAAGGGATCACTAAGTCCATCTCCTCACCCTGCACAGGAAAACACAGAAATTTCACTGGTGTGGGCTGTGGGCTCTGCTCCATCCTCCATTCCCACCCTTTCAGACCCATGCAAGGGTGTCTCCATGGGCAGCCCTCTCCCAAACACCATTAAAAGGCTGAGAGAAGGTTTACACTCTTAAACTGAGTCTAAATCCCTGTTTCTGGGGGCTCTTGCTGCTGCTGCTGGTGCAGGTGGTGCTGAGAGAGCAGCTTTGAGCACCATGTGACTGTGAGTGCACCCTGGCTGGGTGGTTTGGCACCTCTGAAATGGGGACACAGCCACCAAGAGCTGCTGTATGGGGTGATCTGTGCCAGAGCAGAGCCTTGCACAGGGCTGTGGTACAAGCCAGGCTGTGTTTGCTCAGCATTTGCTTCCTTGCTCACCTCCCCATCACTCCCATGGGTCCTGCAGCCTCCTTGTGCCAAAAAAGCTTGGGTGAGCTGGATGTGTACCAGAGCTTAAACTTCCCTCCTCTCCTCCCCGGTGGAGACGAGGCAGTGACGGTGGCCCTGGTCACACGGCCAGTGGCTGCCCGACCTCGTGGCACGGTGGCCCGGTGCTGGCTGGAGCCGGGTGGAGCCCGCAGCCGCTGTGCCGTGCCGTGCCGTGCCAGGCCGTGTGGCAGGAAGCGACGCGCCTTCCCTCAGCATCTCTGCCCCTGCACCGCGGCAGGTGAAGAGATTAAAACCGAAAACGCAGCGCTCAGCAAAGCCCGCTGAAGGCGTTAGAGCCGGAGGCACCCCAGGCGTCGTCAGCCCCGCGCTCGACGCCAAACCACAGCCGCCCTCGAGAGCTTCTCCCATCCCCCTGCGAGATGAGGGCGCTGATAGAGCACGGCTGGTGCCGGGGCTGCCGCGCTCTTCCTGCTGCCAGCCTGCCACAAGCACGGCTGGGCTCCCCCCGGCCGCATCCATCCCCTGCTCCCCTTCTCCATCATCCCAGCGCTCACGGCTGGGTCCCTCCTGCACCACCTGAGTCCCCTGGGAGCTGTTCTGGGCTGTGTTGGAGGCACAGGAGCATCACTTCTTGTGGGATCAGAGGGGTCACTCCGGTCCCTGCGCTGTCCGTGGGGATGTGGGTACCACTGTGCCACCTCCCTGGGGAAAAGCAGGCTTGGAATGGCACCAGGGAAGGGAAAGCTCCTGCTGTAGTGGAGCTGAGGCGGCCAAATTTGGTCTCCAATTTGCCCCAGCAGCAGCAGAAGCTGTGCAGGGCTGCCCCCTTGCCCGTAATTCCTGTGGGATCTGGGAGAGCCCGACTTAAATAAGAGAACAACTGCCCAGTCCTGAGGGTGTTGGAAAACGTGCCTGGAGGCTCGAAATCTGGCTGATGAATGAAGAATTCGTCCCAAACACCACTTGGAGCCTCAGGGTCTGCTCGGGAGGGTCGGGGTTGGGGTCAGAGGGAGGGGAGAGGGTAGGGCTGGGAGTACCCCCCTCAGCCCCGAGGGACAGACGTGAGCGGGGCTCTGTCACGCTGCGAGGGGACGGTGCTGCGAGGGACGGTGCTGAACGGTGCCGTTCCCACAAGAGGGAGCGAGCAGGAGCCCTGAGAGGCGGAACGGGGCTGCACGTCCTATGGGATGTAGCTGTGGGTGCTGCAAGGCGCATTACACACTGCGCGGTGCGACACCTGCACGGTGCCACACCTGCACGGTGTCACACCTGCACGGTGCCACATCCTGCCTGGCGCTGTAGGGCACTCCTTGCCATAAGGATCCGCACCATCCATGTCCCTGCACCCCGCAGGGCTCCGCAGCCCGCGCAGCTCTGTGGCTGTACGGCAGCACAGGGCTCTCCACCCAAAGCAGCCCCGCACCCCAGCAGCTCTGCTCCCCGCCCAGCCCCCCATCCCTGAAGCTCCCCCCCAGTGTGGCCCCGTCCCCCGGCAGCTCCGCAGCTCCGCAGGCAGCCAGGGGACACGGGCAGTGCGGGCACGGCCGCGGCTCGCTCTGCACGTCCAGCTGGGCGAGGGGCATCAGTCCAGCCCGCAGCCAGGCCCTGGCAAGGGCACCCCGGTGCCCTTGGGCATCTCCCAGGGATGGTGATCCTTGTGCGAGTCCTGTGCAGGGCCAGGAGTTGGACTAAATGATCCTCGCATGGCCTTTCCAGGTCAGGAGGTGCTATGACCACTTTTTAGATTTGGGTTCCCCCCTTGCCGAGCCCCCCTGCCCGGGCCGGGGGTCGGGCTGGCGGCACCCTGTGCAAGGGTGGGCGATGTTCGTGGAGTTGCACAACACCGAGCGGAGCTGCCGGAGCCTCCAGCTCCGCGCTTCGGCCGCCGTTAACCATTAAACCAGAGCGGGGGCGGCCGCGGAGCCTCCCCCGGGCCCCACAGGCTCCTGCAGGGCTGCGCTGACGGGGGCTGCGGGATCGGACTCCCCAGGGACGGGGCAGGATGGGGAATAAAGGCTGCTGCGGCTGCGCTCCTCCTCCCGTGCTGCCCGGGCGGCTTTTGGGGCCCCGGGGTGTCCCGGTTCCCGGCTCGTCCCCCGTTCCCGTGCCGGGGTGACACCGGGCGCTTGGCCGGGCTCGTGGGGGTTTCCCCGGTTTGCTGCTTTTTTCACTCTCAGGAAAGCAGCCGGGGTTGGCGCAGGGGGGAAGCGGCACCTCCAGCCCCACCTCCACCAGGACAGGGAGCGAGGGGTGGCCCAGCGCCCCAGGAGCCGGCTGGGAACAGGCAGGGGATCCCCGGGTGCCGCCCCAGCAGCCTCACAGCCCCCGAGCCGTGCCAGGCAGCCCAGGGCTGCGGGGGGACAGGCGGGGGGGACAGGCGGGGGCCACCATCCGGGACAGCCGCACGGACTCTGTCCCGGCCTTCAGGCTGCGGGCCGGTCAATCCAGCCGCAGCAGGAGCTGGTGGCCCCTCGCCGCCCCCCGGCGCGGGTTTTGGGGCAGGTGAGGGGCAGAACGCGGGTGGGCGGCAGCCGGAGCTCCCCAAACACCCCGTGCGCCCCAAAACCACACGCACGCCGTGTATCACATGGATCCCACATACCCCCTGCTCTACAGGTACCCCCTGCCAGCCCAGGCACCCAGGGCACCCCAATGCACCCCGGAATCCCCGCACCCCGCGCACTCCAAGCATTCCATGCACCCAGGGCATACCATGCATCCCACATGGGCAGCCCACGCTCCCCATGGAGCCCGTGCACCCCGTGTACCCCCCACGCACCTCAGTACCCCAGGTACCTCCTGCCCCCCTCGCAGCCCACCCACACCCAGCCCGGCCATTCTGGGGGGGTTTTGGCAGTGATTCCTCGTGGTGGCCAGGACTGACGGCGGAATTAGGAACTTCTTTCCTACTGGGAACGGCGCACACACCCCAAAAGTCCAGACCACACCCCCTTTCTAGCAGAAGGTGACTGTAACTTTTGGGGAAGACCTAGAGCTGATGGGGGAGCCCTACAGGCGAGTTATAGGGGATTTAAAACTTCGGAGAGAACTTTGGGGGGGAGCCTACAAGTTTTGGGGAGTCTAACTTTGTGAGGAGCTCTGCAACTTTTGAAGAACCCCTGTAACTTATCGGCAGCCCTATAATTTGGCGAGGGACCTCACTTTTGCGCGAATCCCCCAAATTTTAACGCTGCGTGTTTCACCCCGGTAAGTCCTCAGGAGCCGTCGGGACTTTTGCGGGATGCTCCGCGGTGACGGCATCCCCGCGTTTATTTGGTGGGCGCCCAGAATCCCGCGCCGTAACAACAAAAACCGGAACTTTCGGGGCTCCTCCGCAACTTTTGGGGAGCCCCGCGAGTTTGGCGGGAAAAGGGGGGGGTGACTTCACGCTGGCCCCAGGGGTGCGGCGTGGACGCGGCGGTGAGCGGGGGTGACGCGGGCGGCCCGGTGGGGGTGCGGTGGGGTTTTTTTTTGGGGGGGTGTCGGGGGGGGGCGGCGGCGGAGACCGGGGTGGGATCCGGGGGAGGCGGCGGGGGGGCGGTGACAGCTGACAGCGGCCCGCCCGAAACTTTCCCCGCCGGTAAAATGGCGCCGCGATGGGATAAACTTTGTGGGGCGGGAAGGGGGGGGTTGTGGCGGCGGGGCGCGGCGGGCGGTGGTGGGTCACAGCAGCCGCGCCCGCGCGGGGATCGCCTCTCCGGGATCGCTGCCCTTCGGGATCTTGCAGGGATCCCCCGCCGCCGGGATCCGCCCAGCCCCGCCCCACGGCGATCAGCCGGGATCCGCTTGCAGCGGGATCCGCTCGGTGCGGATCCCGTGGGGTCTCCCCGGAGCGGGATCCGCTCGGTGCCGGAGCTCGGGCGGTGGGTGCCGGTGTCCGGGCTTGGCCTGGCAGGCACGAGGGCGCTCCCAGCTCTGGGATACCCGCTGGATCCCCGGTGATCCGCTCGGAGCGGGATAAACTTGGGATGTGGATTCATAAGGTGTGGATCTACACCGCGGTGTGGGGTGGGGGTGCTGCCGCCTTCGAGCTGCGTTGCCAGGAGGGTGTCAGGTCGTCTCCTGGCTCTGGATCCCAGCTGGATCCCTGCTGGATCCCTGCTGATGCTCAGCCAGTGAGTGGTGGTGCTGGCAGCAGCATCACAGGGAGACCTGGAGAGTGCTAAGGAACTCCTGGCTGGATCCCACTGCGACCTGGCGGGATCCACTTGGAATTTACCTCACGGAGTGGCTGGCAGGGTCCCCCCACAGCCCACCCTGGCGGCGCTGATTGATCCAGCTCTCCAAACCCAGCTCCCTGATCCAGCTCTCCAAAGCCAGCTCCCTGATCCAGCTCCCCGAACCCACTCCCCGAACCCATCTCCCCATCCCACCGAGGCCGTGGGGATCCCTGCTGCCCGCTGCCTCTCTCTCCCGCAGGCTCCGCTGGGACCCGAGGGCTGGCCGGGGGAGCGGCGCCGGGAGCCGGGCAGCCAGGAGGCCGTGCTGCGGGCGCTGGACGCGGGGCTGGAGCGCTGCCTGGCGCTGCACTCGGCCGTGCAGTGCATCCCCGTGCCCCGGCACAGGTAGGGACACCGGCACGGCCGCCACCCTCCCGGCGGCACCGGCCGCGCTGCGGGAGCCGGGTTCTTCTGCAGGAGGACTTTGGCCGCTGTTGGCCACGCCGGGGTCCCTGGCGGTGAGCGGCTGTCCCGCTGTG